TTTGAGTTTGTTTTTATTTATTTTGAGATAGAGAGCGGGAAAGGGGCAGAGAGAGAGAGAGAGAGAGAGAGAGAGAGAGAGAATCCCAAGGAGGCTCCGTGCTGTCAGCACAGAGCCCGACACCGGGCTTGAACTCCTGAATCGTGAGATCATGACCTGAGCTGAAGTCAGACGCTTACCTGACCGAGCCACCCCAGGCGCCCCAAAACTGGCCAAAATTCTTAAGCCTTCTACCAAATAAAGAGAAAATCAGGGTGCCGGAGTGGGGGCGGGGCACCCAGTGGGACCAGCAACACCTCTGCTAAACCTCATCTTAGGTTTAAAGTCCTTATCAAGAGCTGGAGCCTTGCTCCAGGAAACACGAGCCCCGCTTTGGGGGAACCCCGCTTCTCTCCCTCCCCCTCACTCACTTGCACCCTCTCTCTAAAAAAAATTAAATTAAATAAATAGATGAAGGACTTATCAAGTTTCTGCAGAGAAGCTGGGCTTCAGCCTTCGGTAGTTAGTGAGTACCGGTAATATGAAGTCCGCGTCTGATTTCATAGAGTCTGACATCTCCATGACGGGGCTTTAGTTACATGTAAAAAACCAGCCTAGCCGTTGACAAGGAACGATGGTTTTGTCTGTTCTCTGACCTTCCTTCCTTGGTTATACTCCTCAGACTGGTGGAGAAGGAGGTCTCAGCTCTGGCCACTGTGTGCCCTCTTTCCTACCCTCACTCCTCCCAGCTGCCATCAGTCTGCATACATGTAGTATGGTCATCTCTGGACGATTCTCGGACCTCTTGTTAACAACAACCCCTATATAAGAAGCGTGCTATGCAGAAGGGCTATTAATCTCTTTCTCCTTTTACTTCCCGCCCCCCCCCCCCCCCTGCCGCATTCTCTCAGTAGATTAAAATAAAAATGAAACAAAGAAGGAGGGTGTTCCTAATTGGTGAATTTTCCAGCTTTTCCAGATTAGCAGGAGGTCCCCGGGAAAATTCTGAATGAGTATTACTAGTATTGTCAATGCTTTCAACAGGATGCTGGGAGGTGGCTAGGTTAAGTGGGGGCAGTACTGGGAGCGCCAGGGTAGAGAAGCCCCCGGGAGGTGTGGTGGTCAGGTCCAGCATGATGTGGTGGAAAAGCCCTGACCTAAAGCGGAAAGAGCTGGGCTGTAGGCCTGCATGGTCATTAACCAGCCAGGTGACAGCCACACGGGGCCGGTTTCCTGGTCAGGAGAAGCCGGAGAACCCTCACTGGCTTAGGGGAGCTCTGAGGGTTCCTGTAGCATTAACTGTGATTCCTTTCTTCAGCTGCTAACCCACAAAACACAGTCACCAACTTCTAGAGCTCTTGAAATTGATGTTCCTTAATGAAGCCCATTCTTAACCAGCTTAATTCTGTAACCAGTGTCTGCCAGATTTTAAAACCTGTCTTTCCTGTGTTTATTGTAAACAGCTCCTTCTACCTGTATACTTCTCATTGTTGGTTTTTCCCAGTGACACTTCCCACTGCCCCCTCCCACCCCCACCCCCCGCCCCCAATCGTCTCCATCATCTTGTTGTTCATGGTCAATGATGTCGATGGTCGGTGCCTGTCATCCCAGACTTTTCTAGTTTCTAGGCATGAACAGATATACGTACATGTAAACATCAATTCTTTTGACTAGCGAGGGATCATACCATATATATGGTTCTGAAACTTGTGTTTTTATTAATTAGCATGTGACAGGCAAACATTACAAAATGAGATTCCATGAAAAGTTAAGTCCCCCTCACATCCTGAATCCCCCAGCTCCCCCCTCCTCACAGGCAGTTGTCTGTGTATCCTTCCAGAAGGTTTCTGAGTATATACAAATGTATATGTGTCCAGCTGAGTGTTTTTTAATTTTTTTTAAATGTTTACTTATTTTTGAGAGACAGAGAGAGAGTGCGAGGGAGCAGGGGAGGGGCGGAGAGAGAGGGAGACACGGAATCCGAAGCAGGCTCCAGGCCCCGAGAGGGTGGGGCTCGAACCCACGAAAGGTGAGATCATGACCTGAGCCAAAGTCAGGCGCTTAACCGACTGAGCCCCGCCCCAGGCACCCCTACATTTTGTTATTTAGAAGGCGGTCTGGTAAGTGGTTGGACTTATTTACAGTCCCACCAGGAATAGCAGAGAGTGGTGCCTGTTTCCTCTGCCCTTTCTACAACTTCCTGGTCACAATTCCTCATCTGATAGGCGGAGGTGACATTATGTTTGTTTGCACTTCTCTTACGTAAAACTGAATGTTTTTCAATGGGATGAGAATTACTACTGTTTCTTTTTTCTGTGCTCCGTTACGTCTTTGCCTTTCTTTCTCGTTCGCCCCTGTGAGTTTGTCACTTGCAAATTTATTTCGCAGACGTTTAAAATTTCTGTATAGTCAAGATTGGTCTTTTCCTTTCGTGGCCTCTATGTTTTCACTCTTGACGAGAAAGATTTTTCCTACTCCGAGATGATTGAAAAGTTCCCCTATGTCTCCTCTACTGATACTTTTATAATTTGTTTTTTATCTTTTAATCCCTGAGCCAGGGGAATCTGTGCTTAATCGTAAGAATGAACTGTAGTTCAGCTTCCGTTTGCCTGGGTGGCTGGACGCTGAAAACCACAGATTGCCGGAGAACAGAACCCAGGACAAGGCGAGTTAGCATTGGGATATAATTCACAATTCCACAAATTAAAATGCCCGGTCTGCCGTGTACAATTCATGCCCACAGCTTCTGTTTCCCTCTCCCTCCCCCCACCACACGCTTCTTTGGGACCGAAGAAAAGCCTTCCGCTTTGTTGCCAATTTGCCACTAATTGAAACACATTGATATTTATTCTTGGTATTGAGATGATCAAAAGGCTAATGTTTGGCCTTCTTATTGGCACGGAGGAGGTATTTCAGCCCGCTGTTTCTTAGTTACAGTTGCTACTTGATGGTGTGCAAGTGGGGGTGACTGCAGGCAAGCAGGAAACGGAAAAGCCGTGGTAGCGATTTTCCTCGGGGAAGCCTGCATTCTGGAATGTTGAGAGAATTCGTTTAGTTATTTATTTATTGTTATTTTTTAAAAAATATCTAAAGCCGTGGAGGCTGCTTAGCCTCATTGGTTTGGGGACTTACGATTTTACTGACTACTATCTTACTGGGGAACTTCTTCAAGCGTTTTCTAAAAAAACCGTTTTTTGGGGCGCCTGGGTGGCGCAGTCGGTTAAGTGTCCGACTTCAGCCAGGTCACGATCTCGCGGTCCGTGAGTTCGAGCCCCGCGTCGGGCTCTGGGCTGATGGCTCGGAGTCTGGAGCCTGTTTCCGATTCTGTGTCTCCCTCTCTCTCTGCCCCTCCCCCGTTCATGCTCTGTCTCTCTCTGTCCCAAAAATAAATAAAAAACGTTGAAAAACAAATTAAAAAAAAACAACAACTGTTTTTTAAAAATTAATGATGATTATTTTAGCAAGCTAGCTCCTTCTATCCACAATAGCAACCAGGGTTATAGATTCCCTGGGCCATGGTTTCGCTACGCCAGCCTCCCCCACCCCACGAAACGATGATGCTGTCATTTGATTCTGCCAACTTCCTTAGAAATATTTTGGGCCTACGTGCAGGGTTTGATGCCCCTGTTTGAAGTAGGAAAGTGTCACTGAATCTAAAGCAGCCGCCTAATGCCTTACTGTCACCAGAACTAGGTAATGTGGCCCCGGCAGCTCTGAATTACCAGTTTCAGGTCTAATAAAACAAAAGCCACCCAATAAAAAAAAACCCTCAAAGCCAGATAAAATCCACTGTGCTGGGGATGGCTTATTTTTGTACTTACTCTTTATGTCTTGTGTCAGGTATGTCCTTACAGAAGTACCCCTTGGGGTGCCGAGTGGCTCAGTCAGTTAAGCCTCCGACTTCGGCTCGGGTCACTACCTCACGGTTCGTGGGCTCGAGCCCCACATCAGTCTCTGCCCTGATAGTGCGGAACCTGCTTGGGATTCTCTTTCTCTTCCTGTCTCTGCTTCTCCCTCGCTCTCTCTCTCTCTCTCAAAATAAATAAACTTCAAAAAAAAAGTATCTGTTAGCTTTCTCCCATTGTTCTTTTGATAGCTGAAGTCTTCCCCATCAACGTTTTATTTTGCTTTTAAACGCACGCACACGCTCACTGGCGCTCAGCCTAGAAGAACTCGCTTAACTTGCTTCAAGAAAGCTAGTACAGAAAACTCTGGATGTGGCCCTGACTTGTTATTTTTTTTTAGCCATAACTTGTGAGTTGTGCCGGAAGAGGTGTTAGCGATAATCTGGCGTTCCATACAAAGAGACAGAGATCCGCAAAAGAGAGATAACTGCTTCAAGGTTGCAGATAACGGTCAACACAAGACTAACAAGCTTTGGACTCCCGGCTTAACCCGCTCGCTAGGATAACGCAGTGAAATCCGAATCTTTCCTTGTAGTTTTCTTTAGAGTTTAAGGCTCATGCGGTGTGCTTAAATAATGAGCTGATGGGGGCACCCTTTAGAGCAAATCTGTCACATAGAGTAGCACTTTTCAAAATGGATTCCAGGTGTGTGAAGACACATTCGCACGTAAGAGAGAAGGCAGTATTGAGAACCCGGCTCATTTTTTTACAGGGCGTCTTGGGGGTGCTAACGTCTGGGCAAACACCCTTGAACACTGACACCTATAACTCAACACCCGAGGAATTCCTGACTCAGCTCGCTCTGTTGACGGGAATAATCATTTCGGCATTGGTCACTGGGAGGAAAAATGATCTCTACCTGCCGCGTTGGTCGGCGGCGGCTCGGTGTCCGTGGCCGCGAGTCCTCGGGTATGGTTCTGTCAAGGGCCTTTACTTGGGAAGTCTGTGGTGTCGAAGGTCAGAGCGGGAGGAGGAGGCGAACGGTTCAGGCCTCTTCTGGCCAGTGCCGGTCAGAGTCTGTAATCGTCACACCTGGCCTGGGAGAGCTCGCTTACTAACACGATAGGTAAACTGAGGTAATTCACCCACCGTTGGACCTTAACGAGATGTGTGCAGAACACAGCTTGAAGGAGACCGGAGACAGAACCTTCTGGATGAACTCATAACCCGGGAGAGGCTCCTTCTGGCATCCTTTAAGAACGAGGGGGCAGAGCCCGATCTCATCAGGTATGACGTTTTCCTTCACGGGGATTACGTGGTTGGGTGAAAAGCGTTCTTGGCCGAGATCACGGATGTGTTTCCCGAACGGCTCGATTTAACTAGTGAAATCTACCCCGCCCCTTTACAGCGTTTGCCACGTCGTGGTCTCTCTCTTTAGCGTTCTTTAATTTTCTGGATTGAGTAAGCCGGGTATGTTGGGCGGAATCTCATCCTGAGGGAAGACGGTTTGCGTGGAATACGGACCGGGTCGGAAAAGTCCCTTTGCATCCTCTGGTTGTGCTCTCTGCCACGTGAGCTGTCTTTTCGGCTCCCGAAGTCACGTGTTCGCCTGGGTGGGGAAAAGGCTTCCCCGTGTGTGTGTTTTCACTGGCACGTTTGGGAAACTGTGTCCTAGCGAGACTGTGGTCCGTGCTCACGAAGGTAGGGGAGCACGGCCGTTGGGTCCTGGCCCGTTCCGTGCCGGTGAGTGATTCCCACTCTGTGGAGGGGACAGCCGCTGTCCGCCCAGCTCTGTTGGAACACCCAGAGGAGCGGGCCAGCTCTCCAGGGTTGGGGTTAACAAACCCCATGTGCTTCCCTCTTCGGAGCTGTCCACACAGCCCCCTTCCAGAACTCCTGTAACTTCATCGTGGGAACCATCACGATGGTTCGAGGAGATGAACTTCACGTAGAAACTCACCTCTCTCCCTCTTTGCCACGAGGGACGATGCTTTCATTCTGTAGAGTGGCTTGCTTCTGCTTAGTTCCTGGGTAGGGATGACATGGCTTCTCCAGGGCAGTGGTTTTTGACCTTTGGCCACGAGTTACTGGGCCCTGCGTCAGACAAATCGAGGGGGCGCATGGAGGGTCCCAGGTAAGTATGATATGCAGTCAGGATTGCAGACCACTGCCCTGGGGTAAGCAGAGGAGAAGGAAACAGTGTCCTATTGGCCCCAGGCCTTGGGAGCCTGTGACCTAGGGATGCAAGAAAGAAACAAAAGACAGGAAGCCAAATGGAATCCGGAGTTGTTTCTGTGGCGAAATAAAGCCCAGGAGTCAGGGAGGGAGGAGTCATGTCCCGGGGGCCAGATAGCTCTCTGGCTGTTTGCGGTGATGAAGGCGGTAATCCAGGGCTGGCGAGACAGAAACACACGAGCTGGGGATCCGTGGCGCACAGTCAGGGCCACCTGTCAAGAAGCGCGTCTAAGTCGGAGTCGAGAAAGTAAACCAAGGTGCAGCTGGCAGAGCCAACCGGAGAGGCGATGGGCGGCATCTAAATACCTCTGCTTGGTGGTCCAGCAGGTGGACCTTCTAGGTCTGCGTTTCTTTCTTTCTTTCTTTTTTCTTTTCTTTTTTTTTTTTTTAACATTTATTTATTTTTGAGACACAGAGAGAGATAGAGCACAAGCAGGGGAGGAGCAGAGAGAAAAGGAGACACAGAATCTGAAGCAGGCTCCAGGCCGTCAGCACAGAGCCCGACGCGGGGCTCGAACTCACGAACCGTGAGATCATGACCTGAGCCAAAGTTGGATGCTCAACCGAGTGAGCCACCCCAGCACCCCTAAAAAATTTTTAAGTAGGCTCCACCCCCAACATGGGGCTTGAACTCACAACCCTGAGCTTAAGAGTTGCACACTCTACTAACTAGAGCCAGCCAGGCACCTCTGAGTCTGCATTTAAATTTAAAAAAAGAGAGCGAGAGAGGGAGAGAGAGTGAGTGGGGGAGGGGCAGAGTGAGAGGGAGAGAGAGGATCCCAAGCAGGCTTTGCACTGTCAATGTGGAGCCCGATGCGGGGGCTCGAACTCACAGACCAGACTGTGAGATATGTATGACCTGAGCTGAAATCAAGAGTTGGACACTGAACCGACTGAGCTACCCAGGCCCCCGTACAGAATATGCATTTTAACAAGATCCTGGGGATTTGAATGCACCTTACAACTTGGGAAATATAGCTCTATATCTTTTGTTCTCTCTTTTTTTTTTTTAATGTTTATTTAATTTTGAGAGAGAGGGAGAGACAGAGCGTGAACAGGGGAGGGGCAGAGAGAGAGGGAGACACAGAATCCAAAGCAGGCTCCAGGCTCTGAGCTGTCAGCCCAGAGCCCGACGCGGGGCTCGAACCCACGAACTGAGAGATCATGACGTGAGCCAAAGTCGGACGCTTAAAGCGACTGAGCCACCCAGGCGCCCTTATCCTTTGTTCCTAATGGTGGCACTGGGCATCTAAGTTACCCAAAGGGCTTATAAAAAACAATAAAGAAGAGAGAGATAGAGAAAGAAGAGGAAGGAAATACAGGTGGCAGGACCAAATCCTTGCAGAGAATGAGTGAGTAGCCTGGCCTGAGGCCTGGGTAGCCGTGATGGGGGGCACACTCCTCAGGTGCGTCTAACAGGTGGCGGGGGAGGCCGCTGCCCCGTGTCCACCCGCGGTGCCAGCTGAAAGCTCGAGTCTGCCGTGCACTTCCCGGGTGCCGGGCACGGGCTGAGCACCTCGTGTGCGTTTGCTCAGGAGGTCCTCGTGACGTCCATTTTACAACGGAGAAACTGAGTTTGGAGGGGTCAGGTAACTCGCACAAGACTCTGAAGCTCACGGGTCTCGGAGCGTGGATTTCACCCAGACGCGAGCGCCGTCACACGTGAACTCGCAGCCACCGCAGCGCGAGAAGTGCTGGGCCCGGCCCTGTTGCCCGCTGGTCTCCCGGCCATCTGGGCTTCGAAGTCATTGACCTTGGGGTGCAGGTATGCGTGCTGCCTCTTTCACTGCTGTTAGGACAAGGTGAGGCGATGGGTATGTGAAGGGCTTAGTGACGCAAGATGTTCCTCCTGGAGAACCGTGCCGCCATCAGGCCTGGAGGAAGCGCCTGCTGCTGCCTCCTTCCCCCCCCCCCGGGGGTTCCCGCCCCCCCCCCCCCCCCAGGCCTCCCCGACTGACCGGTCTTGTTCCAGGGAGCCTGCCCCTTCTCCCCTTCCAGATCTCACTCTGTGTCCCCTTCCTCGGTGCCCGGCTTGTTGCCGTCTTGCCCGCAGACAGTCGCAGGTTAACTCTCGCAGCGGAATCCATGGCTGCAGGGGCTTCCCCTCCGGGGGGTTGTCCCCTCGGAAGCCTCCTGGAGCCCAAAGCAGATTGACTGTCGGGAGGATTTTAGCAAAGCTGGTGGATTAGCGTAGAGGCGTTGGGTCTCAGAGGCCTTCCGCGACCAGTGCCTCTTCCCCGTCCCGTGGTTCAGGCTGAGCCACATGCTGGGCCCACCCGTGTGGCTCAGAGGGGGACGGTTGGGGTGGCTTGGGGACAGGGAGGCCACACCAAGGCAGAACCGTGAAGCAACGAAGGCCGAAGTCCTCGGGGCTTGAAGTCACTGAGGCAGCCGGCCGGGCATATTTACACGCTCTCGAGATGGAACCGAGGGAAGTGTAGATGCCGTTGTGTCGTCGTAGCTCAAGGAACGGAAGTCCGGAATAGCTCGGAGTAAGCTTCCAGAAGCATTCTGTTGAAAGGTGCGTCAGCGCCGTGGGGTAGAAGGGACTCCTGAGGAGCGATGTGAGGAAGGTGCGAATGGATAGGACGTTCCGTGCCGGGTGGCATGGGGGCTAGCCAAGAGAAGGAGGCAGTGTGGCCCTGCTGACCTCTGGGAGAAAGTCAGTCAGTACAGGTAAAAAGAGGAAAGCTTACGGTGGGTGGCCTGGAAGCTGGGTCGCTGGGGAATCCCTACGGAGCCCAGATTGCTGTCGACCCACCTGCAGGTGCTTGCTAGGGCTGCTGCGGGCACAACACTGGGGGTTCAGCTACCAGAAACGTCGTTCCTCATGGTTCTGGAGGCTGGAAGGCCAGGCCAGCGTGTCACTGGCAGTGTCGTGCCCCCTGACGGCCGTGACGGAGGGTCTGTTCTAGGCGTCTCTCCTGGCCTTTTAGGTGGCCGACTTCTGTCTGAGTCTTCACGCGGTCGTTCCCCTGTGCGCACACGTCCCCCTGACGTGTCTGAGGTCTGTGTGTCCAGCATCCCCTCTTCTCATAAAGATAACCCGGGGCATGTTGGATGATGGGCCACCCCAACGACCCCATTGTAACTTAATGACCTCGTTAACGAACCTGTCTCCAAATACTGTCGCGTTCTGAGGTACGTACCAGGGGTTAGCACTTCAACCCCGAATTCACAGGAATTTTTTGCGAAAATGCACGTCCTGTGACATCCCAGGAGAACCTGGTCGATGAGAGGATGCGTGCTGGGTGAAAGCATTCTCAAATATTATGTAGGAAAATCCTTGGGAAATCTGCTTTCGGGCCACGAAATGGACACGAGACGGCGCTGACCCGACCCGCTGGGAAGACAGCGCCGCCAGGGACTTACTGGAGACAAGAAATGGGTCTGTTGGCGAGCGGAGGAGCGAATGATTGTCACGGTCAGGTGCTGGCAGCAGATTGTCATCACGCGGAAGTCAGAGTTTCTGGTCTTTGATTTCACTCGCCTGGCGACATCAGAGTGTTATTTTTGCCCTCTGTACCCCTGGTCCCCACGCTTGAGGCCTCCCCTTCCACCCCCGACTTCTCGTACCCCGGGAACTCCTTCACTGGCCTTCGGAGGCTCTGAATTCACAAGTAGACGTAACCAGGCTGGAATCACAGTTCAACTTGGCCTCTTGCGTCCTGACTGTCAAGGCCGCCTGGTCCTTTCTGATACCAGCCGTCAGGGACCTTTCGGCTCTGTCTTTGGAGGGACCTCGTTCCCTTCCCTGCCGGTCCGCTTCTGTGACACACAGCTTCCTCAGGCCTCCCCGCGGTTAATTCCCGGTCCTGGGCTCCCCGGCGTCCTTTCCTACTTCTCTGATCTCTGGACTCCTCTGGCATTTTTGTTTGCTTCTGTCATTCTTTAATAAACCAGCGTGAGTTGCTTTGTTACCTGGCGGGGGCGGGGGTGGAGGCTCCGTGGCACATGTCTTTGCCTTGGGTCACGACCTACGGAGATGCGCTGGCCGGAAAGCCTTATCAGAACCTTCAAATGTGATAGACACGCTCTCTGCGGCACACGTT